CCCTCCCGTTCCCTTCTCCGTGACCGCATAGCCCCCTCTGATAGTGCCCACACACTTACACGCCCTCCGGTTGTGGCGCGCACGTGCAGGTCCGTCTCCGACGCCACCGGGGAGTTCCTCTCGCCACAGCCCTCCATGTCCATGCAATCCGGCGTGTCGCACGAGTCGTCGCCGATCCCCGTTCGGCCGCGATCGGACGCCCCCCTCCGGCCATCCCAGATTTCTACCTCCCCCTCACGCCGGTCGCGCAAGAAGACCGGCGGCGACGTGGCCAGCATCGGGTCAAGTTCCCTTCCGCCGAGCAGCCCACTGTCACACTCCCCCGGGGGAGCCCTGGCCGGCGGGCCTGCCATCCTCGCGGGGCACCATGCCCCGTCGTCGGCCAGCACGGCCGATGTCTCGGTGCTGCGTTTGATTTCCGGCGTCGAGCGCCGCCGCCGTAGTGACTCCATCCTGGCAAACCTGCCGCCGTGCGTGGCACTATGCCTGTCCTTTGCCTTTGTGTGTCTGGGGGCGCTGCTCCGCCTCCGAGGTAGGCGTGCCACCCTTTTGTGTATGGCTTTAACTCACCCCTCCCCCCCCCCCTCCCTTATATACACACACACACACACATGCATGCATGCACACACGCGCATCGTACATCATGTGCATACGCACACAGCAAGCTCGCCGACACCGGCTCCTCACTCAGTGCCTCGGACATTGCCCTCCAGTCTCCCGGGCGGATGTCCGACGCTGGTGCCCCGGGAGCCGGCGCCGGGATCAGCCCGGGTGCCGGGCTTTCGGTGGCCTCGCCTGCGTTGGCGGATGCCGGAACCGGCGCCGGGCCGCTTTCGCCCCACGTGCCGGTGACACCGGCGGGATCGGCATCGGCCCCGGCCGCAGCCAGCCAGGCCCCCGAGCTGGCAGCGGCCCCGACAGCCATGGACCCGAAGAAGGCCGCCATGCTGGCGGTCTACGCATCGCTCAATGGCCAGGAGCCGAGTGTGACACTGGAGGGGACGGAGATCGTCAGCTCCCTGGTCCCCGGGGCCTTTGACGATGTGTTTGCCTCGGTCTTCGACATGACTGACGATGTATTCCTGTCCTTCCACCGGCGGTGTCGGAATACCGGCATCACGGCGCACGGCCAGGCCGCGGACTTCACCGGTGACGGGCCATGGAACCCCTCACGCGAGGCCGTCGGCGGCACGCGCGACATCCAGTACTCCATCCCCATCAACATCCCGATGAGTGCGTTGCCGTGGGTTCTCTCTCTCTCTCTCTCTCTCTCTCGTGGCCTTCTGGCGCCTCGTATAGTGAGCCCCTGTGATGTGCCCCTGTGCCGCATCCCCCCCCCCCCCTGACGGGGCCCATGCTGACGCCACCACACTTCCACCTCTGCCCTCGCAGCCAGCAAGACCTCCACCCCCTGCTTCGAGACCCAGATCATTTACAAGTATGAGCCGGCGTACATTTGCGTGGAGACCATCACCCGCACGCCGGAGGTCCCCTTCGGCGAGTGCTTCGCCATCCATTGCAAGTACTATTTCATCGGCCGGACCCCCGGCGAGTCGCGCTTCGTGGGCACGGCCCAGGCCAAGTTCTCCCGGTCGACCATGTTCCGGTCCAAGATCGAGAAGACCTCCATGGATCAGATCAAGGTGACCATGAACTACTTGCTGGACTCGATTCGGGACAAGTTCCAGTCGCGTGACTCGACCGGAGCCGCTGGGCTCCTGTCGGCCGGGGCCGCCGCCGGATCCGGCACGGCGGGCACCCATGCCGGCGGGGCTGGTGCTGCGGCCGGCGCGGCCGGCGGGGCAGCCGGCACCGCCGGGGCCAAGGGCCTCGGGGCCGATGGCTCTGCGGCTGACTCGGCGGCCGCCAACAATCGCGGCCTGGTGGCCGGCCTGGCCGGCGGTCTGCTGTCTGTCGTGACCGGCGCCTTGGGCACCGTGGGGGGGCTCTTTTCCGCGGTGTCCGGGGCGGCCAGTGGGTCCGGGTCGCCAGGTGGCCAGCCGGCGCCCGGGCAGAAGGGTGCGTGTCCGCCC